TATGCTGTTCCTAATCCTGCCATTTTTATTCTTTTTCCCCCCCGCATTTTCTGGAGGAGAGCTGCAAATTATGTCCCTAGCACTAATCTCTGGTCTGGATGGAGTATTCCAACCCCCTCTACCCCCCAACTGAGGCTCTGTATCTCCATCTTTTGGGGGTACAAAGAAGCAAGACATGGAGACAAAATCCTCTTTGCTAATGTCAGGGCAATTCTTGAGTCCAGCATTTAATGGGCAGAGCTTTTGGGGGGGTGGGGGTGGGGAGAATGGCTTTCTTGGACTACCCTTCCAGCTTTGAGGGCTGGGGATTCTGGGAGTTGAAGTCCAATGAATTATCCCCAGTCTCGGAACACAGCTCTCCTCCCTGCAAGATCATCCTGGCTTTAGAGACCAGATCACCTTGAGATTTTAGGGCAGGCGGGATCACTTCTCCTGCCAGATCTTACTACAGTGGTGCCTCGCATAGCAACATTAATTCGTTCCGCAAAAATTGCTGCAGAACGAAAACGTCGCTATGTGATATTAAAAAGCCCATAGAAATGCATTGAAACCCCTTCAATGCATTCCTATGGGCTTAAAACTCACTGTTGAGCGAAGATCCTCCATAGCGCCGCCATTTTCGGTGCCTCTAAAGCGAGGAATCCGTCCCTAAACACAGCAGGCGGCCATGGTTTTTTCCCAGTGGCCATTTTGAAACCGCCGATCAGCTGTGCAAAAATTGGGGCTTTGCGATGATCGCTTCCCTGCGATCATTGCAAAGCGAAATTCCCCCATAGGGAACATTGCAAAGCGATCGCAAAAAAAGCGTCGCAAAGCGATTTCGTCATAAAACAAAGCAATCGCTATGTGAGGCACCACTGTATTTCTAAGTGCGCCTTAAATTGGAATGGGGTTTCCCAGACAAAGTGGGGCTCTTTGTGGTATCAGCAATTAGGTTACACAGATCACTTTTTAAAAAAAAACTCTTTTCCAATTGTGTTGGGAATGTACAGTATTTCTAGCATTCCACAGATGCAAGTCGGGGTGTGGAGGTCAGGAGAAAATAATGGGGTCCAAAATCTTGCATGACTTCCCTCTCCCTTCCACACCGCTACCTGCTAGGGAATAATCCCATATTCAGGGCAACACCTGGACATACGTAATTATTTTTTCTTGCCAAGAGCCGACGGTTGCCCTTTCCCAAATATTTATTTACTATTTATTTAGTTTGATGATTAAGCAGTTACAAATAGCAATATAAATAGTGATTTAAATAGTTCCGCTCAATGTCTGTTTGCTTAAAGAAGGTCAAACGTCTAAATCTTAAATTTTGGAGCTCGGCTGGTGTAAATTTGGGATCAGCCACGCTTAGTTCCTGAGCCGAGTGTCGTCCTCCATAACTGGGGAGTCTCGCCCGGCCACCATGTTTGCAAACCTCAAGGCGAGAAGTCCAGAGGGGTCGCAGAGGGTCGGGAGAGGCTGTGCTCAAGAGGTCTGCCTTTTACGACCCGTTTCCATATGTTCTCCAAGCGACTATGGCCGGGGAGGGGTGGACTGTGGAGCTTTGTGGTCCCAAATATTAAGATCTTTAAAGTCTGACGAGGTTCACAGAGTTGGAAAGCA